TCTGACTCTGGGGACCTACCCTTCCCAACAGATCTGCCTTTTTTTTCTGGCCTCAGTAGTCTCTTTCTCCTGGGCCAACCTGATGGCCCCATCCTTCTTGTAAGCCCAGGCCGGGCCCAGGACCCTTGGGTATGTTTAGTCACATCTGTGGATCCAGGATGAATACCATCCTCCTTCTCATGCTACTGGGAACACCCCTAATCCTTGAACGCCACAGCCCTGAGGAAAGACCATCTCCCACGCCTATTGGAGACAACCCCCAGCCCCTGAACTCCCCTGTGCAGACCCCTCACACTGGTACTGAGCACTCAAAGCACTTCCCAGCCCTGACGTCCCTGAAGTTGACCACTATGGGAGGTGCATCTGCATCTGGGCCAGCGGCCAGCTCAGAATCCTCCCAGCTCCTCACCTGTTCAGTCACTCCCACACTCCCTGTTCTCTCAGCCCCTACCTCAGCTGGACACTAGCTTGCTCAGCATTTTCCCTGTTCCTCGACTCTACACTGCCAGAGAGTCTTGTGTATTTACTCTTGTCCTTAAATTCAAGCCTGCAATTAAAATCAGCAACAATTGAGCAAGATGGCAGATGGATCCCCTTGCCTTCCTCTCCTCCCTCCCTAGATATCTTAAAATAAGATTAAAATGACTTAAAAATAAATCAGAAAATTGAAATGAAGAAAGGCTGTAATCGGCAGACTAGGAACTAGAGAAGTTCTGGAAGTTAAAGAAAAAAATCAGATGCCATTAAAATGACAAGAGCAGACAACTCTGCAGTCTGAAACAGGAGGCCAAAACATCCATCCATAGTTGAGATTCAACCACCAGAGCCCAATACCCTGTTCGACATGTGAGAAAATTCATAGCATAAAAGCGAAAACCAAATTGAACAAACAGAAAAACTGACTGAAGATGAAAGACAGATGTTTTAGGGAACAGAAGAGGATATCAGGTCCTTAAAACGAGAAGATGCTAGAGACATATTCAGAATGTCTAACATCCAGGAAGGCCTGGGCTTTGAGCACTCAAAAGTGGTGTCCACCACTAACAACCAGTATGGAGGTACCATACTGGATGAACACCACCCTCAGAAAGGTGACCAGAGGGGCTAGCAGGTGGTAAGATAGTTAAGGCCCTGGATACCACATGGCTGACTCTGGTTCAAGCAAGGTGGCAGATGGGTTCCTTTGCTTGAAAAACATGCCAGGCACGTGTGCATGCATGCCCCAAATCCTAAGAGGAGATAGGAGAAGAACGGATTGCCTTGTGGTCATCCTCCCTGGTGAGCGTGTGTGGGAGGGTTATTTCTCCCGTTCTCTCTCTCTAGCTAGCAAGTGCATGTGCCCCATGGCAAAAAAAAAAAATCCCCCCAAAAAGACCACCAGAGAAAGAGCATGGAATATAAACACAAACCATTTTATTTCCCCTCTTTTTTTGGGGGGGGGGCATGGGTAAAATATAGAAGGTTCTTCACATAGAGCTCAGCTCATGCCACGTGATCATTGGCTACCCATGCAAGGTACTACTTTCGCTTCACTTCTTTCATCTATTCTTCCTATCCTCATCCTCATTTCCACTTGCTTTCCCCTCCAAGGCACCCACTTTAATGTATTTGATATGTAACCTTGAATTTGAATGTATCTTTGCAAAACATAAAGTACGAGAAGTTTTTTCTGTTTTTTTGCTATTCATGTCAAAGAAACTGTGATCCACTGTTGCAGGATGCTTGTTTTCCCCTTGCCGGATGTGCATACCCAGCCCGCCAAGATTTGATGCTGCAACTTGTTCTATTGCTGCATCTCCTGGTGCATTATTCAGAACCCAGGCAGCCTATGTTGTTTTGCCTCCACTTTTCCACTTGTTTGTTTTAAGAGAGAGATTTTTGCTATAGAGTGTGTATGCTTGCCAGAGAGACAGAGAGACAGAAAGTGAGAAACACCCTCCTGGGAGAATGACCACACTGCAATCCCTTCTCTTTCATTCTCCTCTCAGGATTTTGGGCACACACACACACATGCCAGGTGTGAGTTTCAAGCCTCCTGAGTTCAGGGCTTGAACCACGGTCGGCCATGTGGGAGTACAGCAATGTAACCATTATGCCATCTGCTGGTGTCCTCTGTCCCTCTTAAAAACCTTATTTTTGAAGCTAACAGAAGATATAGCAGTTATGTCACTGGACTCCTCACATGGCCACCAGCAGTTTGAGTCCTGGACTCAGTGGCTTGAAAATCATGCTGAGGGCCAGAGATTTAGAGTGTTAAGGGAGTGGCTGCAAACAAAGAGGAAGCCTTGCTGGCTCACCAGCTGCCCACCTCCAACTGCACCACCAGGGGTTTGGGAACCCCTGTCTTAGGGTATCATCTGAGACTTGCTTTAGGATTTACATCCAGATTGGGATTAGTTGGGTTGTAGACTCTCAGACATCTAATTAATGTTGCCATTTTGTATTGCCTCACCCACTGACCTAGACAATTAGTGATTACATGCTTCCTGTGAATCTATATGAAGCCCTCAGCACCAACTATGGAATGGTTTTGTTGGAAAAAATAAGTAGAAAGTGAGGCTAAATGTTGCTCAGCGATGGTGTGGGAGTTAGATGTATAGTTATTATGACTTCTGTGCATCGTGCATCCTTTGACATTTTTATAATAAAAATCTGGACACTCATGTGTTGAAGCCATTGCTATTTGTGTTTTAGCTGTATAGGCTGAAATGTAACCTTTCTTAATCTATTAAATCCATACAACTGCAATGGATTGGGACAAATTCACACCTACTACAGAAATACAGAGATTCACCTAAGGGCCATTAGCAGTGGGATAAGAATGTGCTGAAGGGAACCAGCAGTTAGCGTAATGGCTATGTCGCTGGACTCCCACATAGTCGACCACGGTTCGCATCTGGGACCCAGTGGCTTAAAACTCACGCCGGGCGTGTGTGCGTGCGTGCCCAGGATCCCGAGAGGAGAATGGAGGAGAAGGGATCGCGATGTGACCATCCCCCCGGGGGGTGATTTCTCGCTTTCTGTCTCTATGTCTCTCTCTGTCTG